GCTTGGTCCCAAAAGGCTAAAAAATATCACGAAATTTTAATCTCTTGAGGGATAATTGTACATTCTAATTATGAATTTAGTGATTGACAATCACGGATTGTCAAGATACTGTATCTCCGAGAGAGTCTTGAATATGGGGAATTTTTCTTTCCTTTTTTTTTAATTTCATTTTAACGGTGATTTTCAATCGTAATTTTGGCATTGAATGGTAAACGTCAGTTATAGTAGAATTTTACAATGGTGTAATTTTTATTCTTCATTCGTGCCATACCAGAAGTTACGTGCGGTAATCGGTAACGTAACATTGGGAGGAAATGTCTTTCGGAGGTTTAACGACGAAACAACAATTTTTGAAATGTCACTTTTCTCTGCAGAGTATTGCACACACGTGTGCACATGCATACTTGCGAATAGCAACGAGCTTTTCTGTGAATCCGTGTGTGCGCACAGTTTTACACGATTCTAATGAAAAGTGTGTCGTGTCTCTCTCACTAAGCACTCTCACATTTAGTGGGCTTTGTCATTTCCATTTCGCAATACCTATTGCTATCAAACAACATTTCCATTTATTGAAGAATCTCGAAATGAGGAAGAAAAATCATATATTATTACATTTTGAATCAGTTTTTATGGAAGGGCGCCTAATTTCTCTCCTTTTTAATCGTGTTAAGAAATAACTGAGAGGTAATCTCGTAAAAAAAGGGAGGAAAAATCAATGTTCCATGAACATTGCATCTGCCAAAATTGCGATGCCACTGTTGTCGATACGTCGGAGTTCTGGCATCGTCTCGGTGAAACGAACGAACCCGACCCGAAACGGAGAAACGAGAGAAAGAGAGGATAGGGACCAGGATTGAGAAGCTCCAAAGACGTATAAAAATCAGGATTGTACCTGACAGAAGCGACTGGATATTGAAATTTTCAATTTCCCTGTGACCGTATACCGTGGACCCGAAGGTCGGACTGAAATTTTCATTTTCCACTAAACTTTCTTTTATTAGATAATAAAAGGAAGGTTTTCGTTTACCGTTTTCGTTTTCGAAAACCTTATTACGGATAGTAGCGACTCGATTTGAAAATTGTAACATCAGACGAGATGGACCTGATTAGCATAAATTGGTATAGGTAATCAATATCAAGTGTTACGTGATATTCAGATATTAAACGTGTTTAATAGCTAAATAATAGATTTGTAATTATAGATGTACTAACGTATGACGTACACGTGCCAGCCAATATTATACGAAATTATTTTATACAAACAATTTTTTGAAATATCGACTATTTAATTGCATATTAAAATTAAGACACAGAAGATAGGTGAATGATGACGAAGTTTAAATGAAATTATATAATATATGTTGAGAGTTTTAATATGATTTACTTTTAATAGATAGGTACTATTAATCACGTAATTTACTTCGGGTACTATTTTCTGGAATATCTTGCGGCAGAAAGTGATATGATTTCTACGTCACGTAGAATATACTGTCGTGTGACTTGTCTAGTCTGTGGAAAACACGTAGATGGTTCAACGAGAGCTCAATCGATCGAAGCGCATGAGAGCGCAGTTTGTGATAATACCTTGCCTCTGGCATGGATAAGAACACTTTGACTGTGATGAACATTGACGTGAGATAAATACAGGTTTGAATTTAATTAAATACGGTTTCAGCTACCGTAAGCGCAGTTCTAACTACTGTATTGGAATTTTCCCGCAGTCCAATTCTTTAGAATCATTATTCATTCCCTTAACATAAATCCGTAACTGAATTTGAATAATAATTCTTTGTCTTGCTAATCGTATGTTCATAGTCGTCATTAAAATATTTTTAATTATAATACCGCAAAATGTTACATCATTCCGGTTTTTTTTAAAGTTACCAAATTGTAGAGTAATGGTATGAAATTGTTGCTGTCTTAAAAACGACGACATTGTCATAAGTATTTTTTACCCTGAGAAAACGAAATGGAAAGTACGAGTTTATATTTATATGATTTAATATTTTCCACCCTGCAGCACGCAGTCTTCAATCTTAATAATTGTTGCATATATTAGGTCGATGCACATCTAGATGCATGGTTCTCGTGCAGATCTTCGCACAACTTGGCTAAGAAACTCGACTCGTACTACTTTCGCTGTATACAGTCGGTGTAAGTAGGCCTTTCTTGTAATCACCTCGTGGAAGCATTACACAATTTTTCTTTAAAAACAAACGCGTGTTTCGCGAACCATAAATACGGACTAAGTGTATTGCCCTTCTAACGGCAGTTCATTACAGTAAGCGGAGGTTACTTATATTTTCCCTCTAACGAAGTATGTTATTGGATCCGCAACATTGCGCTGCGGTTGCAAACATTCTACAATGTTTCCCTTTCGTTAAGTTTTATTTCCTTTTTTTTTTGGAAAAGTATCAAGCCATCCATAAGAGACATCTGCGAGAGTACTTCCACTTAATAAGTGAAGTTGTCCACGTACTTTGAGAAAGTAATAAAAAGAAAAAAGTAACTATTCTCTCAGAAACTGTCTCGGAGCCCTTAAAGAGAGTTTTAAATTCTAACCGCGAATCGTCTCCCGGCAATCAATCTTCAGCACTAAAGCGCTGGTCGTAAAACAAATCATTAACGACTCGGAGAAATTACTCCACTTTACAATGCTCTTCGTCGCTCGGACTATTGTAATTTATTATTTACAATCCCGGCGAAAAATATCCGCGGAGGAGTTCCCATTTGATGGTCTCTTATACCCGCGGCCGAAGAAATGGAGGGAAACAAAAATGTTTTATTCAAGCCCGAGCGGATACTGGAAAACGTATCGAACCTTGAAAATCCTTTACGGTTTTATATCCGGGATTCCCTAGGTTCCGGATATATATGTCAATCCTTCTTTCGATTTTGCATCACAGAATGTGTCCTTTATGGCGAAGTAGATTTCTATACAACGAAAAATGCTTTCTCACTCGTTACAATTTTTGTATTTTTCTTAAAGAATGTGTAACCGGATTCTAGAGGTAGTAAGTTACCTTCGAGTCTATCAGAAACCGATGAACTGCACTTTGTTGCAAGGAATTCTTGAATTTTTTTTCCAAAATCGCAAGAAATGCAGGAATCATGTCTTTATGCTTTTAGTGCCCCTGCGGCCATCTTCCGAATTATCGAGAATTCCCTGAGTAATGGGGCAACATGCCCTAAGAAAAGTCTTCAGATGGTAGTCCAAAAATGATACCGTCGAACCGACGTCCGCCATTTCTTATTCACGTCATGCGAGCCTCGTCCAATCAGGCGTCACGTACTTTGCAAGCAGATTCCCTGTGTCAGGAATAGTTCCTAGCAACCCAGTCGGTTGCACTTTTATTCGATGGAAAAATATGATAACTCGCTGACCTCCGGATTGATTCTTACATATTTGGAGTTACATCGAGTCGACTCAATAAAGAAAATCCCCTGGCCACGTTAACCACTGACCTTTTTCAGCGAGGCAGTAATGAGCCCGTCTGCCATGAATTTTTCATGAAATAAACACACGTCCAACTTTGATACCAATTTTAGCATTTATATATCCGAAAAGTCTCGTCTATTTTTTCCCACTATGTAACAGGACGGAGTGGAAGGAAAAGATATTAGGTACTCCGGCTACATAACTATTTCAGCTAATTACGAACACATTAGGAATTCGTGCTAAATCAAGCGCAGGTGTTCTCTCGCGTTGTAGGGGTTTTCCTCCTGATCTATATTCTTTGTTCACAGCTTTACAGTACACTGCGTACCACGTGCTAACAGATGCTGGACTCTCCCAGTTCATCGACAGTGTTTTTTTTTTCGCTGTGCACCTTGGCGAGGAAAGTTTTTGATAAAATAGGGTCCTCTTTTCACCTGACCTGTACTCCTTATTCACAGCTTTGCCCACCGTGTACCAAGTACTTATTCTAAAAGAGATAGATCCAGTCCATTAGTGGTGATCTCTTCTGCTTTACGCCCATGTGATAAAACTCCATGACAACACGGATACCTTACACCTGACGTTCTTTCTTCAAAGCTTTGCACCTGTACCCTGGTGGATAAGATGTCTTTTCTACGAGCATGAAGCCGCCAGTGTACGACAGGGAGACGTTAACGTCCACCAGGGTATACGCCCCAAAAACTTCAGGACTCTTGTCTATCAACACTGGTCTTCCTACTTTACGCCTAGTGATAAAATTTCGTTATCAACTTTCGTAACAAAACAGAGAATTAAAATCTGACAACCTTATTCACAACTTTGCAGTGTACCGAGTACACGCCCCAACCACTAATAGACTTTAAACAATAAACAATGTTCTCTGTCGCTTCACGCCTTTGTGATCACATTTCGGGATAAAGCAGAAACCTTAAACGTAACACAATTTGTTTACAACTTTGCAGTGCACTACAAAAACGTTCCAACGGTTTCTGGGCCTTACACCATCAATAATAATCCTCTGCTTAATATATTTGTAATAAAATCCGGGGATAAAACGGGGACCTTATCCCGGTTCTCAACAGTTCCCGGACCCCAGACCTCCAACAGTGATATTTATTGCTATACGCCTTTACAATAAAACTTCGCGATAAAGCAGACGCCTCGGACCTGACACCCTTTGTTCACAATTTTGCAGTGCACCGCATTCACGTCTCAACAGCTGCTGGCTCGTACACCATCAACAACGCTCGTTTTGCTTTGCGCCACTGTGACAAAGTTCGGGTGTGGTTTTTAACGTCTACGTCAATCAAGCAAACACATTAATCAAACTAACCTAACGCGTGTAATATTCTTTCCAATTAGCCAACATTGGGACGATGTACCAGAAGATCACGTTGGGTCCGACATCATGCGTAACCTTCTCCTTACGGGTCAGGGGCTTCATCCTAACGTTCCCTTCTGCAAATATTTTTATGGATCACTTACACACGTTCTGTACCGACTATTTATGAGATCTCTAGTTCCGTGTTACACTGAATAATACTTTGGACCTTGATTTCAGCATCTGCACTGGTCGAACCACCACGTGGACTCCGTAGACAGCGGAGGTGGAGCTGGAAGTGGAATAAGCTCCGGATGGCCAAAGCAAACCAGACCTCGGGTCAACAGTGCCATCGACGTAGCCGGCTTTCTGTCTCAGGTAACCTAATTCAATGAAACGATATTAACCTCGACAAATTCTGACACAAATCGATGATTCCATGGGCATCTCTCGGACTACCTTGAGTAGTCTTCTCCAGAAGTCCCAGAATAATCCCGTCTCTCTCGTTTCACTTGTTGGAAGCACTGGGGAAATGTGAGTGGTCGAATTCCCTGAAGGTTCGCAAAATATGGATTGAAACATAAACATGTCAATATCGACGTTTTTCTGGTCGTGGATAAATCATGTACGTGGATACGCGTATCTGCTGGAAGTTTAGCAATCGTAAAGGAGCTTGTCGGAATTAGTTGAAAACTTTCGATCAAACAATAACGTTGATTTGTCTGGAGATCGAAGGAGTACTTGCATTTGTTGAAAGTGCTCCAAAATAGAATTTGTACGTTCATGTATTGGTTTTATTTTAACCTGTTTTTATTCGGTTTCTTTATGTTGTGGTGGGTTTTAACATATTCGATCGGTATCAGAAAGAATGGATGAAGCGTCGATCTCAGATAAATTGGATAAAGGCTTAAAAATATTCTGAGCCACGAGGAAACCATGGAAAATTAACATCACTCAAATTCGACCGCCCATTCAAGTACTGAACTGCGGTCGGCGGTGCTTAAACCCGAAGACCGATTAAACCCCCGAGATTGCCGAGGCTGTAACAAGGAAACATTACCAAGAATTCGCCGCTGATCTTACTCATTTTCATATATGTTGAAAAACATAAAAATTTAAGAGACACCATGTTTTTTTTTTTATCCGCAATGGTCCACATTTAAGGGGTGAAACAAGCCCCCAAAGTTTATCGAAAATTCGATTTTTATATTAATTTTCGTAGAAGCAGTGGAATAATATCGACGAAACTTGGCATAAATGTATTTTGTACAAGAACGGTGAAAACACAATATTGTCCAGTGATGCTACACCACCTGAAGGGGGTGAACTACCCTTCAGCCGACATTTTTTTGTAATATCTATTAAACAGGCACTCCTACTTAAATTCTACTTACGCCATGTGATTGCTCACGGAAAATGAGGAAATACGTGTTTTTTGCTTTTAGCCAATAAACATTTATACATCGGTTAAAAATAATGGATGTAGGTGGTATTAGGGTATATCCCGACTACCTTTATTGGATTATATCGTGACCAATTCATCGTACATAAGTCGTGTCATCGTGGTAATTCTTCAAAATGTCATTGATTTTCATAACATGCAATTATTTATAAATAAATTAAAAAAACAGTTTCCCTCCACTGCTTCTATGATAATTAATATAAAAATCGAATTTTCGCCAAACTTTGGGGGATTGTTTCACCCCTTAAATGTGGACTATTGCAAATAAAAAGAACACGTTTCTCTTAGAATTTTATGTTCTTCAACATACATGAAAATCAATAAGATCAGCGGCGGACACTTGGGAATGTTCTCTTGTAAGAAAACTTCCGCAAAAGAATTCCTATAGACCTCCGACACTACATATACACATTATCACTTTGAAGAAGCCTGATATCTCCCGGAAGATCATTCAATTTAATTCAATCCAAGTATTAATCATTTCAAAATCTGAAAAATTCTCGTACATAACGACTCCATACCACTCCAGGATTATCCCTTGTAATTTCCTGGAATTTCGTTCCCACGAAAATTAAAACGATTATTACTTAGCATAAACACTCGTCTTCCCATATTTCTCCAAGAATATTCGACACTTTTAAGTAGGAACCGCATCTTGATGATGACATTTAGATCCTTTATCTATGATAAAATCTACTGAAAATGTAAAGAAAATTCCAACATAAATAAAGTTAGATCCCCAGGGATAGAATCCTTGAACATAATTTAACGCGTTACTATACCCACGTTTTCTTTAACCATTAAATATATTCTTATCCGACCAAAACTGTCATCCAAATGTGGGCGACGGAGTTTCCGAAAACTTGCCCGTCGCCCAGACATTGACGGAGTTAAACGTGTTAAGGACTTCTCGACCTTCCGAAAAATGTGAAAAAATAAATCCATGCTACTAATTACCGACACCGAAAGTCACGCGGGACACATTCGGCTCCGTTTTCAGGAATTCCTTCGCCGTCATGGGTCCACGTCCAGGCTCTGCCGAAAAGTTCGCAGTGCAGACAATTTGCCGCTGGAGACGTCAAATCGACAGCAGGATCACTGCAGCCATTCGAGGGACGAAGTGGTGGAGGGAGACCGAGAGACCTTCTTGAGGGCTTGTCAGGAGGAACAGGAGAGGAACGAGGAAATCGAGTCCAGGAGGCAGAGCAGCCAGGAAAGTGGTCCGAAGGATGTCACCGAGACGTCCTTCCTGGAGTCTTCCTCTCATCAGCCGCAATCCTCCTCGAGGTAGGCCGGTCCCTCTCTTACGTACGCTAAGCAGATCAGGTAGACCCATCGGACTAAGTAGAAGCACTCGGGACCGGGATTTTCGTTTTGCTCGAATTCGCACACTGTCATTCCTCGCCCATGTATGATAAAACGGGAATCCACTGAATGGCTCGGACTGGAAGGACTTTAAGGGAGTGCCTGACGCATCGCCGATGGATCCGCTCCACCGAGTGCAACTTTGCATTTACTTTTCGTTTTTCTTTTTTTTTTCATTTCTTTTCAAAGGTTCCCCCGTGTTCGAGCTACTTGCGAACACGCGAGAGAGGGAGAGCGGTGCCAGGTGCGAAGTGCGTAACAGAACTTAAACGTTTATTTAACACTGGTAATAATTAACAATTCAATCGGGTTGAACAATAAATGAACAGAGCGAAATGACTGATGGAAAGATTAGTTATGTCGGATCAGGAAGATCGAGCTTGATTGAGCGGGCCACTAGCGCGAGTGGACATAGAAATTGCGCGAGAGATTGAGCGCGTAATACGGAGACTAGTTGTTCTCGCGGGAGATTAATTTCATCTCACTAGATACCGCGGACGCGTAAAGTCGCGCGGGAGACTGAAAGACGCGGTAATGCCGTGACGCTGATGGTCGCTCGGCTGTTCAATCGAATCTGCTGTTTGGGATCAAAGTTTAGAAACAAGAGGGTCCCGGAGAGAGTTTTTAGAGGCGGAGTTTGGAAGAAAGTCCTGGATAGGTTAAGGAAGCCAACGAATTGCATTTTTGTATGCAGCCGATTGGTCAAGAAGAAATGAAGAAGGAGAAGTTTTAGATAGTTCTAGAGGCGTGAGTGGAGACTGCACATGCTGATGTCGTTAGAGAATTTCGGAGAACCACTAGAAGAAGAGTAAAAGAACGGAAGACATAAATTGTCCTAATTGCGGACGTGATCGAGAGGTACACGTTTTAGAATTTGAGGTTTTAAGTTATGGACCTCAAGAGCGAGACTTCCGTGAAACGGAGAAAGCGAAAAGGGTCGCGGATAATGCGAGCTATGTGAGAAGTGATAGAAGGCAGACACGGATTAGAGGAAAAGAACACCCAGGTCGCTGGGAAAGAATGCCCTGCCCCGGGGCTTCGGGGGTCGCCTCTTACCCTTAACGGACGGCCAGGCGCCAGAATGTCCGACAGGTCGTCTGGTCCGCTTGAGTATCGCTAAGATTCGATGTGGTATTAGCAATGGACAATTGAAGTTGCGTATTGGCTTGAACACCCCGCATCGTGGGAATTAACACGGGGCATCTATTTTGAGATTTCAACGGAATTTCTGCAAAAACTTGTCTTTGGAAGTTTTCTTTATATATTTTTCATTTCTTTGCGACTACACGTTGTCGACAAGCAAAGCCCACTTCAAAGTCTGCTACATGGAGGAGTGTAAATAATTAAAAATTTAATTAGCAATGTCGTTTTCGTCTCTTTCCATTCATCCACTAATGTTTACGTGCACAACTAATACTTTTTTCGATATCTTCCTTTTTAGAATTATTGGCGACGAACAAAGATTCGTTGCCAATAATCTGTCTTGAACGGGGTGTTTTCAGTTTGACACTTGTATTTTTATACACAACTGTACATACTTCGTACATAAGGTGATTGTTTAAAATTAATTTCATTCCATTAAAATGGACCCCAAATTTTGGGACGCTCTGTAAGTATTGGCGTGGATATATATGTCAATACATGTATGGGTGTGAAAGTGAATTTCGAGATTTGCAATTTTCTATAAAACAATGTAAAGGGGATTTGTGTGCTTGTATAAAAAATTACGATTTTCATATAAAATGTAAACGTTATCGAATTCTTAGCTTTTTAATAATTTTTCTTGAAACAAGGGCACTGTTATCCTACAATTGTTTATGAACTCTTCACGAGGTGTTTCTGATCCACCGGCGATGTAATAATGATTACCCACTGAATATTTAAGCGAAATGTGTTCTACCCGGATTGTGGATGGAACTAAACTTGCCTACGCATTTCATTACATGAATAATGCAATGCATTAAAGTTACAAATCCGGGAGAACATTATCCCTTAAAATTACCTTACTTATATAATTTGTAACGCGAAAGTAATCTTGACTATGGGGTCACTAAAAAGGAGCCGCAGCATATGAAAAGAAACAGAATCGCAGTAAGGCAACAACAGGTTCAAATTAAACATTTAAAGGAGCATATAGTTCAAATAGGCAGCTTGCAGCACTAAGTAGATTTGTATGTATTGAGGTTTGGTTGTTGTCACAGTTAAAGACATTCTTCGTATTAGTAAGGTTATTAATTTTTTAATTCCTCCTATCATTATTAGCAACTGCCGAATAGATTATTCCTAATTAATGTTCGCATTTATTTAATTCATTTTTTAAATCATTCCTATCATCGCTGTCAACTTCTAATTAATTGCATGCCATTGAATAAATAAGACCCGTTTAAAAAAGAAATTGAACGGCCAGTACATCTTCGTGACGCCATTGTCTCGCGAGATCATAAAATATCTCTGCATGATATTTTGCTTCGTTAGGCGAATCTGTTTTCATAGGATGCTAATATTTTCAAAACTATTCAAATGCATCGTTGCGGCTGCATATTGTTAGCGAGCACTCTGAAATCTGTTACGTAGAAGAGTAAATAACGAAAGATAAATTAAATAATGTAAGTTCTTACTTTTTCTCTTATTGTTTATTACTTACGTGTATAGCAGATATCTGTTCGAACAGCTCCGAACATTTTTCAGTTAATGTCTGAGACGTTTGTAAATTTATTTTCAACTGTCGTCCGGTTCGATGACTTTTTCATTAGACATCCCAATGTTCAGCCATGTTCTACAAGTTTGTCAAGATGCCGGCTGTCTGCTGTGTGTCCTTCATTGCGCATACAGTAATCCAAGCTGCACTGATCTAACTTGATTACTTATTCAATCAGGCCTGCAATTACGTGATATTACACAATGTGCTCTTCCCGAACTGTTGCAGACCTGTAGATTTCTAGAGAGGTACATTCCTCTCATCAGTACCTTGTTGAACACTCGCACCTTCGTCAATCCCAGTTACGGAGAGTGACGGAATTCATTACCAAATTAATTAATAAATTCGTCTCATCGTTCTTTACTTTAAAATCATGTACAGTAGAGGAAAATGGGAATTACCCCATTTGAAACATTTTCTGCAAAAGATACTGAGAGAGGTTGAAGACAAAATTGCAAATGTTTTGTTATATGTATAGTATGCTTGCACATGGTCGTTAATTATCACATACCTGATAATTGGCGTTGTTAATAAAAACTGTTGCTGATGATATACTTGAATCTTCGGGTCATTAAAGTCAATAGATTAGATATAAAGAATCAAAAATGGCGAAATATAAAATCCGAAAATAGAATATTCGAAAGATTAAAGTACCCAGACAAACATATTTAAGATTTAGTTTGATTGCGCTGATATTTAAAAGAATGCCAAAGACAGTTTTCTGGACTATTATGTGGATATATAAAGGCATGCTTAATGAGTTTTCATAAATTTTCATAAAATTCGTTCTCTAGGCTGACCTAAGTAACGTGCTTGTTTCCTCTTTTAATTACTGCTACAATAGACATCGAACGAGGCATATATCCCAATTGTCGACACTTGTCCACGAATCTCCAATTTTTATGGCATATTAATATTTATATACATACTTGAACGACTGAACCAAATCCGAGAATCAATTGCATCATTGTAATCACGTTCTTAAAGAAAAATCACTTAATTTTACATTTTGATTCTCAACCAAACCATATTCATTCATCCTATGCTATTATTTCGACATTAATAATTGCCCTAACGATAATTACGTACGAAAAAATACCATGTATACCATTACAAATTATACAAACGAATACAAACGAATGCAATTCCCTTTTACTTCATCTTTTTAGATATCTTGAAAAAAGAGAAATTTCAAGTTCTATAAAACATTGTATGAGGTAAACTTTTTTAGGTAACTTCTTTGGTTGAAAGTGTCACCAATTGATATATATTCGTTTGTTCCTAAGTGGGCAAGCTTGGGCAAATATCTAGATGCGAGGCCATACGCCCGTACTTTCTATCTTACGTTTGTACATATGTACATAAGCAGTCGACTATGAGATCGAAAAGGAAGGTGGCGCACGTTGCCTTGTCAGGTGATCCCATTTGATGTTTCAGGGATTCTTCGGCGACTTCTTCGTCGTTGGTCGCACGTCGTTTTACCGGATGGAGGATGGGCGGAAGTCACGAGTATGTCCGATGCCCGGTACGACAGCCAGCCTCATTAGATGATAGGTAAGACATTTTCCTTTTCCCGTGTCAGATTTTCTCACGTGTGTATACATATTTTTATCCGTATATATAACTATGAAGATATGTATCAGATATGTGGGAAAAATGTCACATGTATCAGGTATGTGGGAAAAATTCTCCGCGAACGTGACGTACATGACACGTCAGAAGACGCGACCAGCATCCGCATTTGGTTTATGGAAATTTTAGGATACGAACAATCGCCGATGTTCGTGTGATGTTCTTACAAACATTAAATGAATATTTATACGCTACAATATTGAAAATATGATTTAACATTTTTATAAAATTGTATTACAAGAAAGTTCAAATCTTTGTTGACAAATTTAAGAGTGTTTGCCACTCCAAGGATATGCAATGTTTTGCATGGGCGCAAATAGTATGTTTTTATATGAAAATGATTTTATACGAAATCGCTCCCATGTAAATACGCGCCTATACTTAATCTTTAAAAAAGTATTATTAATGCGGTTGGTTCATAAATACGTTCACAATATTTTTCATTGCAAATCATTGGGGTGATGAACACCCTTAAGGTGATGTAAAAATGGCATCTGAGAGGTTTCGTTTATGAAATTTTACAAGCATTCAAAATTGTACCACGTGAACCTCAAGACCCTTAGGAAGGTCCTAATATCCGCGAAATTTCATTCTTTAAAATTTATTTTTAATAGTTTTTTTTTTAATCATTATAAAACATGACATTTTATGGGTGTTAGGACCTTCTTTAACCCTTTCGTACGAGCGTCGGATATATCCGGCATCCATCTTATGACCTGTGTGTACAAGTGCCGGATATATCCGGGATCTATCTGATGACCTGTGTGTACGAGCGCCGAATATATCCGGCATCCATGTGACAGCCTGTATGTACGCGCTGTGTGCATTTTCGGAGCGGCGCCTCGTACAGCGGGAGTGTCTCGGCGGATAGAGCGCTCGTACCGAAAGGGTTAAGGCCTTCACATCCAGTTCGGGAGAAAGTTTCATGAACGACTGACTCCTAAAATGCTATTTTCAAGTCACCTTAAGTCGACATTTCTAAACCTTTGTATTAAACAATTCATTTGGAAATCGAGCCCACGTCAATTATAATATACGCACCTCAACACAATGTAATTTGAAATGTCAGACAAATTTCCAGAAAGGGACTTACTGCCTGCTTGGGCCCATCGGGCCATTTATTAATTTAGCAATTTCCTGGCTCCGCTCGTAAATTTTAGTTTTTTACGATACGGTTATATTGCCCCGTACGTCCCATCGTGAAGGTTTAGGGTTATTTAGAATTTTCTCGGGTTGACCGTCCCTATTCTTTACCGCCATACCTTCTTTAACTTTACCGCTAACACGTGCGCGCAACATGCACACATGCATACAACATGTTTTTCCATCTGCACGGCAACTAGAAATTTTCCGTTTTCACCCAACCGTATTGGACAACTATCGACCAATCACGAGGCTGACTATTCGATTTTAACCGCCCTTCTTAAAATCAGTCAGCCAACCGCTATGTACGAAATATGGTACCACCTTCTCAAAAAATGTAATGCGGCCGGAGGAGGAATCCTGTATTTTTTCTGTAAGTCAGTGAGTCTCCGTCTCTCGTTAGAATTCAACGTCTCTTGTCAGTCTTCACCAACGTTTCTGTAACTGATCGGTATTCACGCTTGAAGAGCTGATACAATTTAACAAGTCATTCGTATATTTTATATTATAATAAATTCAAGTTTGTTTGTTCGCGACAAGTCTCACTTCGTTCGGGTATGCTCCTTCTTCACGTGAGCAGTTGTACGAATATCCCATTTTGCTAATCTAGTTGCAAAAACAATCGGGATTCATACAACAACTGCCCGACAAACTAGCCGGGCAGAATATCAATAAACCAGGCGCGTAAACGTGATTAGCGGGATAACGTAAGAATAAAGGGCACCCGACCGAATTTTATTTCGTGTTTGCATTTATCCGCTTGCGATAAAACGGAATCGGCCGAGTTGGCGATAACTGGGAAATTGTGAGTCATAAACAAAAGGTCAAGGGAAATTTTATTCTCAGATCCCCGGGGAACCGTGTCGTTTCTCGACTCTGTTAAGCCATTCAGCTTTTTCCTTGCAGCGGTCTCGTAGGAGCTCCGGTTTTGAGTTCGGGTCTTTCCAAGTTGGCTAGATGTCAGGAATTTCTTAAGCTTTTCTTCGGGACTGCCATAAGGCTCTGGGGTGGAGGTGATGAAGCTTGACACCTGCGTTTTCAATGAAACTGGCGGTGTGACAAGTCGCGATTAAAAAAAGAAAAAAATCGCACAAAAGAGAATTCAGAGAGACACTTCGTTCCGGTCCAGGCGTCTTCCTAGAGCAATCTTCACTTCTGGTGAATGTATTGAAAAGAAATCCTTGGCAGCTTTGAGCTCGAAAGGAACATCTAGAATCGCTGACATTGAAAAACTCCCTATTGTCGGTACAGTTCTCCCTGCGGTGATCCTTGAGATGATAAGTGTTTACTTGTGACTTTATAGATTATTTTTACCGTATTTTATTTATATACGTTATATACACGATTGTACGTAATATTTTTATAAGGGAATAGAAATACCGACTTATATTTTCGCGGATAAATCCGGGGAAGAGAAATTCAGCATGAAACTGGCACATTTTTTTACCCGTGACATTTCGAAAACCCTGAAGAACCTTTATTATACTTATTATCGATAAATGATCAAGATATAAGTTAGGCCTATTTATATTTTGACATCTTTTTTTTTCTGAGCTTTTATTAAAACATTTATAGAACGAAGATGGATCGTTTCTGCCCGCTTATAAATATAAGTACGAGTCCAAAAACGGGAAAAATGCGATGAAAGAAAATTCACTGCCGGTCTAGTAAAAGTTGAAAATTTGTACTGGAACATTTCCATGGCGGTTAATGAGCTTCGTTACTAGAGTGATGAACAACAAGAGGTAGAAGTACTACAACGCGGAGCTTTCATCTAGCTGAAGCTTGTACTCGGAAAATGGCGAAAAATGTCCAGGTGAAACCTGACCATAATCTGAGAGATGGTTCAGAGTGTATCGAATTTTTCCACGAAAAAGCTTCCTTCGAAAATCCCTTCATGAAATATATTTTATATTTTTTAATCCTTCTTTAACTATTCACTTTATACAACATCGCAAATTCATTAGTTTTTTCAAACGCATTCAAATAATAATAATTATGAATAAAATCTAATTTGTTTTAAACCGTTTAAATATCGCAACGCGGGTATACGTAAATGTTACTAGTTAATCATATTTTGTTTGAACAATAAAATCATTACATTCCACGCACGTGAACGATTGTGTAGATTTGACCTAACACGATCAATCTAAATCAATAACAATTTTAACATGTTTTATGAACGAGGGCTGTGATTTCGACCTCTGCGATTTGTTTTTAATATTCATCGCGGTAATTAACGGCGTTCACCACCAAAGTGGGGACGATGACTTCCACCGCTAGATGGCATTAGCATCGAATTCGGTGGGAGGTAACCAAAACGTAGTTTCTCGCTCGGATGAGGGACACGCGACATATAATGGGCGGTGTTTAGCAACGGGCGAAAAATGTGTGCGTATTTTGCACGTATACAACTCACACAACGGCTAGACGCCTCTGGACTAGGCGCCGAAACGTGTGTGACCCTCGGCCGCACGCACACGCAAGTTGGACGCTCCGCCTAGAGTAGGCAACGGTTGCTAAGGAATGCCCAAATTCCTTGCGAGAAACTCGAAAATCCTAAAAAAGATGCTCCACGGGGACAACGATTTTGAGCGTATTTCTCAACCGATCGAGCTCAACGAGTGCTCGTTTTAAAGATAAAATGTTGACGTGTGTTTATATGGGAGCGATTTTCGATCGAGCACCTCCTTCCTAGGTAAAAGGGCATTGAAATTATGTCGTTGCACTTTTTTATATGAAAATGACCACTTATCGAAAATCGCTCCCATATAAACACAGGTCAACATTTCATCTTCGATATGAGCACTCGTTAAGCCCCATCGGTTTAGAAATACGTTCGGAATCGTTGTCCCCGTGAGGCCCTGCAAAATCGCTGGAGTGGTGAGCGCCCTTAATCGCACCTCCCCTGATTGCCATGGCTGCGTCAATTTGCATAAATCTAATTTTGATATTTTTCAAAGCAAAAAGATATTTCGGATTTTAAGGGGTTAATTTCGCGCAATCGATTCCTGCATTCTCTCTGTTTGCGCTCTTTGATTCATGTTATAATCGAATTGTGCCAAAAAGTGTGTTCCTACCGACACAAAAATTGAAGAAGCCAGTGAAGCCAGAGAAGTAATTTGTTGCAATTACAACCCTGCACTCTCCTGCAGAGCTTTCGAGGTTAAATGGAGTTAATTGATGAAACTACAGCGTATCAAAATGGGAAGCAAGCGGAATGTAAGCCCTAAATAAAAATGCAGATATTCCATGAATATCCGTAATTTGACTTTTGTGCTGAAATGTCACGATTTCACGGCCGTTGAAATTTCCAACAACTTTGTCAAGATAAATTTCCCAAAATCCGACCAGTTTTCCAAAACAGTCGTACACTACCCACACGGAACAAAAGCTCTATTATATGTATATAGCATGTTTTCATGGCTACGGGATGTTTCAGTATATCAGAAGTTAAAAATATACGTATAATATATGTTCACAGAATGTCAAAAATATTCTATTGGATTTTAGATGTACATTATACGTATTAAATATATTACTAGAACATAAAAAGTTGCACCAATTAAATACGTTTAGTAAACCTATAATATATCTGACTTAAACTTATATACATGACCTTATTTTTGGCCAGAGATTGGCAATATAAATGATATTGATTAAACCAAATTTCAATTAAACTTATTACTGTGGTGTTTGAATATGCGAAACGTATCGCATAATCCATAGGTCTACGGTAGCTCAGTGGTCACCACTACTATGGTCTGTTACCTAAATGATTCGGGTTCGAATCTCGATCCCCACCACGGGGATTTTTTCAATGTCAGATGTTTGTATATCTGGAAGATTTTAGGTCCCTGAACAGGTCGTGGTAAATTGTTTCTAAAAAAAATGCATTTAGTGTAAAATAAATAATACTTTTTTAAATTATTCCACCTACATTTGGAATACGTCTTATATATGTATAAAATACGTATAATATTATACGTGATTAATATGTCCAGTGTACGGTTGTGGAACTTTTTAATATAGGCATACCATCTATTGAAGCTTTTATTTATTAGTTTATTATACGTATATACGTCTGTGTCAGATACCTTATATACGTCTACTATACATAATACGTCTACCATATATCTTACTTACATATAATATACATACTTTATCCATATGGAATGTATATTAAATGAAAGTTGAATGTTCAGAAATACATGTACTATATGTTGACGACGCGGAAATTTGTACATGCCCCAGCACATTCCGTATACTTTTGTATACATCAATTAGACATCTGAATGTTTTAGTCAGATATCCTATATACGTATACCATATCTAGTTGTCCGTGTGGGTACTTGCATATGAATATGAAATTTTCTATATGGTTGACGTTAATTAAAAATCTCCAGGAAAGAATTTACTGACAAAATTATCCTAAAAATTTTCTTTATAGTTGATGACGGATAAAAGTCGTCTATAAAGGCGCTTCAATATTTTTCTACCCAACCAAAATTTCATTGATTCAACCAAATATGTTTCTATGTGTATAAGTCCCGTTCTCGACATTTACTAATATTTTGGTAGTCGCCCTGGTCTGTAGATTCGTTTTCTCGGTCTTTTAGAAATTTATCGGCTTTCAGGAAAGCCCTCTTCGCAACCCTGAAAGCTCCTCAAAGTACCGAGTGCAACGAGAAATTCTATCGTCACGCTTTTACACGGTCCGCTCTTATTAACCATGAAAACTGGAGTTTAGAGCCGAGTTGTAAAGCACACATTTTCGCGGGGTGGTTTTCACCCTCTCTCTCGCTTCATTGGTCCATTTTTACGTGTCACGGTGGGACAGGACGAGAGAAAATGAAACAACTTCACCGAGTCCAAGAGACTTCCGATCTCTCGTTATGTCGCGACCGTGTATGGAGCTTTCGTAAGTTGGATTCGAAACTCAGTTGCCATTTAATCTGCGAAATTACCGGCACCACGGAGAAGATGATTATCTCTGAATTTCGTATCTGCGATGTGATGCACGTGGATTTAATAATGATCGATCATTTTATCAATGCTCCGTAATGCCTCGGTTTGACAGGAATAAGCAGACCTTTCCCGAATTTAACAACACGGCCATAGGATATTTCGTCTACACGTTAAAATAATTTTCAGAAAAAGTACACGTCATTATGAAAAGTAGGGTGCAATTATTAACGAGATTTTTAAAATGGTTATAATGCTTGCCCGGGGGCTTCCATTAATCATGATTAAGAAAACAATAAATACAAATATTTCCGGCAAAACTCAAAGCAGGACCTCATTATCGTCCCACTCTATTGTAATCAAGGAATTCGTTTATAAACTCTGACTTTATAAATGTTCTGATTTGCAAACATCGATATAAATTGTGAATCTATAAACAAATGGTTAGTATCAGAAAGTTAATACCTGCAGATTTCACGTTGTAATAGTTTTTTTCTTGGTCTGAAAAAACTGGGTTATACGAGGTTAATGTAACAACAATTTAAAACGAATCTCTTTGACGGCACGTATATTTACATTTATAATTTCTCTAAATATCTATTTATTATGTACAATGGACTCAGCGATGCCGGTGATATCGGCTCGATGTTCAGGATGAACCGGTAGAGTTTCATCCAGTGGTTTCGCCGCAGCGAAAGCGCTAATCAATATTAAATCCAATTTTTTCAGGTCACGGAGAGCATTGTTAGCCCCACTGTTGAGCACGAGTCGATGCGTAAATCCGTGCTCTCGCATCCCGTAACCTCGGTTTCTAATTCCCCAGGTTCTACCGAAGGATCTACGAGCCGGACATAATCCGACTGCCCCGTTCCCACCACCACTACCATCATCGGTTGGACGGGGAGCGACACACGAAGAGCTGCGACTACGCGAGACGGACCCCGGAGTCCAGCATGGAGGTTCAACACTTCGGCTTGCCGATCCTTAGCATCTCCGAGCCGAGTCCTCCGGACGAGACAGACCGGGTGGACGACTATTTGTAGGACTTGCTTGCCGAGGACTTCCTCAAGGAGCTCCTCGTATGACCGCGTGTCGCCCCAGCCCCAGTCCCGTCGCCAAAAAGGGACCATCGGGATTATCGGGATCATCGATGTCCCCAGGGTCTAAACTCGGACTTTAAGTTGGGTGTCGAGTCACGCCCCAATCCAGGCCCCGTCCCGATTTCGGACACCCCCACGATTCGGCACCACCTCGGTAGGATCTTGTACCAGGACCCGTCCACCGGGACGTCTTGGTCCACCCTGCGAATCCGAAGAGGACTTTCATCCCTGGGCCAGGCTCCGGAATGCAATTCCTAGGTCGACGCCTCGCTCTAAGGACTTGTCGTGGGCTAATCGAACACCTAGCCTGGTTCTCGGTTTTCTGGACCCTTCACCGAATTAATTACGTACTCGATGAGGTCCCCCGAGCCACTGAAGGGAGGATGCCGGAGGAGAGGTCCAAACCTCCCGGTTAATGCACATATCTCAGAAGCGCATTACATATCCCTTGTGCAGGACGTTGATGAGGATCGTGAAAACGATCCTTTGACTAATCCCGTGAGATATTCGGACCCCACGGGAAGTGGGCACCACAGGATGGGCTGGAGGTCGAATGCGAACGCTTGCTAACTGGATATGTAGGTATCCAAGCGTATTGATCGGAGCTCTCGTTAAGGGGTGAGAACTTCGCTGTTTTATGGACTAATGATTTATCGAGTGTTGGGATTTGTTTGTAGTAATTGTAACGTTGACAACTGATCATGGCGACCAAGATTTTGGGCTAGATACTGTAAAGTCTGGTTTAAATAGTGATATAGCGATGCTCTTTCATTGTGGAAATTACTTTCATTCTTTTAGGGCAATGAACGTTAAAGTGTAATTAAAACGTAACTATTAAACTAAAATTCTGTTACATTAGTTATGCAATATTATACAACGAAGATGTGCAATAATTTGAACGCTACTTCGTAATCTGTTTAATTTGTAACGCTAAAGCCTTGAATGATAAAAACGAGACATTCATGGATAATTATTGCGCATTCGTTAACGTTACTAATTACTCCAAATCTATTAGCGAGGTAAATCGAGTTGGTATCGTAATCCTAGCTTCAAGTGCAATTTTCAAGAACAAGAACTTCTGTCAGAAAAGAAACCGTCCTCTATTTTCCAATCAAAATTTTGAGTTTAAACGGTTCAATTGACAAATGCAATTTCTTAACAATACGCAATGGTTTTTACGCCAAATCAAGAGAAACATTTGAGGCCGACTTGGAAAATGCGTACAACGATTATTTTTAAAGTATACCATGTCAATTGACGAAGTATCGCATTCGGCTTCTCAGCTTTTCAGGGAGAGATCCTTCCTCGATCAATCGATCACCCTCGATAGACGATCTGATCGAAAACGCAAACTCCACAATCGTCCGCCCAAAAGGACCAAATGAATCGCGAGACATCGACCCTTATCACGAATTCTAAAAAAAACGAGTCGTTTTCGACGAGAACCCTGCAAAAAGTTTTCCAACTTCCAGAACGAGCCCTCCTCAGGTCTACGGGAACTCCGGGAGAAAGAAAAGTAAAACAAGGATAAAGCAGGCATCTACCTAATCGATGTAACCTCGGGAACACGAAGAGGTACCGGAAGGTAATCCAAAAGGTATCGGTGTGTGCGTATTTAGTACTTCCACGAAATCATAGTAGGATGAATTCGTGCCGATCAACGATTCATTTAAGACCAAACTCACCGTTCACCGTTTAAGTGTGCACAAATACATGATCGTTCATCCTTAAGCACGTAAACCGCGGTTAAGTGACCCTTGACAGACATAACCTGCTTTAACACTTAATATGGGACTATAAAATAATCAGCGATTTCCTGGATTCTAATATACCTAGAATCATTTTCTTGCATAGAAAGAATTAATGTTTTATATAATACAGTACCTGATAATATTGATACTCAACATTGGCAGCTTTTACAGTAAACAAACAACCTGGACATTGAGTCACTAATTGTAAACGTATTTATTGTTTATTAGTTTTCAGTAATCTCTTTTTCGTTTACTTGTCTTATTTTCTTACTGTTAGACCGATCAACGTCGAGTTTGTTGTAATTTTTGCTTCACCTGGTAAGGAGACGTCTTACCACTCGCTGTAATAAGACTTGGGGTAATTGTAAACGCGGTTTACGGTGTTAAGGGGAACAATCGATAGCGTAACCTTAACTCTTACAACCTTCGTACATAGGTCCTCCCTCTTTCTCGTATATTATGTTGATTGATCGATCCCGGCTCGGTCGTGCACTAATTCCCTACAGCGTGACCTCGTGTTTCTCTTCTGTAAATATAATCGAGAATTCCTCGGCCGAATCATCGATAGGTCTTGTCGATTTCTAGGGATCACTTTTAAGGACTAAGGTGAGTGTAGGTCGAGACCGTGACGCGCGTCGAATGTGGAACAAGCGGCCTGTGTCCGCCCTTCGTAAATTCGGTACTCTCCTGTACAATTATACATACGATTATAAATATATATATATATATATATATATATATATATATGTTATGTATATTATAGATAGGTGCGTGTCTTAGATACCGAGGCAGAGGCGTTAAACACCTTATATTCGTATTTTATCGTGGCTCGTTAAGTTTGTACCACGATGTAATGTTACGAGGAGTAGAAGAGAATGCCAATTCGCGTGGAGGTTCGATGGTAACTTTGAAGGATGGTAAGGATACAAATTTTTGGTTCCATAGATCGGATGAAAATAAAGTTAGAAAGAGCTGGAAGTTGGGACAGGAGATATCCGGTTCATATGCAGCATGAAAAAATGAAGGAAATGTTCTTACAGAGCAAATATTAAGTCTCATTGTAAAACCTAAAGTTCTGAACAAGTCAAAGAGAATTTATTCCCGCGTCACTGATTCATTTGAGGCTAAATTAAATGGATTTAATCAAATTTAGTGATTTATTTCCGCGACAGATTTATTAAGTCGAGTGGAACTTGATTTAAGGAATTCCATTCTGATTTATTATCAGGGAAGTTTACCTACTGATATTTTAGGCTTCCGTTACTTTTCGAGTTTACTTACAACGGCATGGATTTAATTAATTAAAATTGTATGAAAAATAATGGAAATTTTTATCTTTGACTAGTATGAAGTGCATTTACAGAATCCTGGAAATCTCCACGTGTTTATTAGAAGTGGTACATTCGTTGAATGTCCTTTAGTACCCTGTCCCGTTTATTGCCAGTCCGAAGGGACATATTCTGCTTTTTTCTCCCGTCTTTTACGCCACCAGACTTTTGCCTCGTAAAATATAAAAGTTCGTACTCTTATCGCGCCCTTAGAGGCCGAGAGTGCTGGCTGATATAGTTTACATCAGGGCGGATGCACTCTCGACTCTAAAAGTGCAAAGAAAGTACAGCCCATTGCCCCCGATATCAAACACGTGATTTAAAACGTAAGTGACTTTTTTTTAATTTTTCTCGTGATACATTTTTAACAAATTCTGACCGTAAAATCTACCACTCTCGCATATCCAATATGTGCTTTCTTTTTAATTACTGCACGGAGTAGTCAGATATTTTGCTTCATTTTTCACGCGTTATTATAAATAATGGGACAAAACGGAATAATGTCCCACTTGCGATAATAATCCCAACGGTCCAATTGAGGCATGTAAATATCCGTGCTTTTGTATGATCTCACTCTGTGATACCAACTCCATTTACCGCAATTCCATCCCTTCAAGCACGTACTTGTATTTCACTTCCGGTTAAACATATATATCCAAACGGCATTCCCGGGAGTTGAGTTTGCAGCGAATTTCCATTATTCGCGTTGGATACGAAACCTTGAAGGCCGCGGGCATTTCTACGTTACACGGGACATTAAATAATGTGACATTTGGTGCAATACTTCTTATTCCAATTAATTCAGAATATTACCCTAATTTTTTTCACTTTAATCCGTATATTTTAACTCTTTGTCGCGTATCAATCACTCCTCGTTAAATAACTCTCTCCATTTCTTTTATTTTATATTTTGCAAATCATTCATAAAAACATGGCGGCCACTGTATTAGCTTTCAAAATTCTGCACTTAAAAATTGATTATAAAAAATATAAAGCCAAAAATCACGAAACATCCATAAAGAAGGTTTCCTAGAATTGAAATATGAAAAAGTTATCAAACAAAAATCACGGAAATATTTATAAAAAGACAGAAACGAAAAGGCGCATTGCGGACGATTACTGATAAACTGTTGTAGATAATTGCCAATAAATTTCAGGAGACCGTTGAGTTAAACGATTTCGAGGGCCACTTGAATATCACATCATACACAGTGATGAAAACTCGGAAAGCAGTCGAGTTTCCTTTTATTCTAGTGCTCCTATACAGTGATAGGTAGATATTCCGCCAATGTCCTTCTATACAGGCAACACATTGAACCGAAAGTGGCACTTCACTCCACGTGTGTGGGGAGTACGTGATTTCGAAAGAGGAATTGCCTCGAGTGCACTCGCATTCATCCTTAAACGCGATATTTCTGTGAGGAGATACGGCTGGGGGACAGGAAAAGTTCTATCGCGTTTCCGGAAAATGCTCTGCGGATGCATTACGCACGTATTGCATCGTTAAACATATAAGAAGCGGTATCAGCCCGGAATTTATTGCGAGGATCTGCGCGCTTATATGCCAAAAATGTGGCATATAGTGCCACATTTGTGAGAATAATTTTGAGGAATAGTCATTTTCCCAATGTTAGGTTTTCAATGAAATGATGTCTCCCGATGTACCAAATGTCATGGCGATTTTAGTAATTCATTATTAAATTTTTAAACGTGCCAACGTTGAAACTATTTCTTGTCTCCAATTTATCGGTCTTTTCCACTGGGAAATTGCAACAGAAAATTATGTACCTTGCACAAAGCCCGTACTAAATATTTGTATCGCAGAATTGTATTCTTTTAACGTTCGCGCGTGCAAGAAGGGCAATAATTTGTCCAGAATATTAAACTTGCAAACGGTAAAGTAAAGTTATCAATGGGCGATGCTTTCCCTCGCTGGCTTTAATACATTGTCTAGTACGTCATTATTCTTTTCCCTCGTTCCCACCCTCTCTTTATACCGATTTGCGGCGAAAAATGCTCTACCGATTCACCGCATGACACATAAAATACTAAAACGATGTGCGAGTTTAACGCAAAGATTTAACGAACTTCTCTACCTTGCTGTTTTTGTATCACGTGGGAATAAGTCTTAATTTTATCATAAAGCTTTTTAACTTCTTGAAATATGAATACGTCGATATAAATCGCTAAATATTTAATTGAAAAAAAAGTAAGTCTATGAAAAAACAGACGTAAGTCTGTTAAGAAATTAGGGATAAAATATCCTAGAAGAAAGTATCCCTTGTTACATTTATACTTACAGCTTTATACCACTAATATAATAATTACTTCGGCGTTCAATAAATAGACAAAATATAATTTGGATTACCTGCTATTTTGAATAAAATTTATTACATGATAATGCAGTGCTTTCACCATCATTTACTATTTACTGTAACTAAATATTCTGAAGGATATGGAAATCCAATTCTCTTTCAATGTTCTCTTTGAGTAAAATTGTAGCGACAACCATTTCCCTACATTTTCATAACGTTAAAGTCGGGGGGAGGGGGGATGACAGTCGTTCGAAAACTTCGACAATACGTTCATGGAACCATGTTTTAACAATTAACGCAGTTTCGCCCTGCTGGAAAATGAAGGATTAGTCTTCTATAATGCTTTTGAATTTCGTTTCCTCACTTCCTAGAAGCTGATTGTGTTTTTTGGAGCTTGGCTTGCCTTTCAACTGGTCCATTGTATGATTCCGATTCCCAAATTGCCACTGACTCGTTTTTTTTTCTTTCTTCATTTCTTTTTTCATCATTGACTTCTACAATCACATAACTGTTCGTCATTAGCAATTAATTGACTTGTTATCAGCTCCACAGTGTGATAAAGTCGTCTGACCTTTAACACGTTGACTGCCGCGTCACTCTTATTCGGGTGACATAGCAGTCAAATAAAATGCGCGTGGCAGTCAAACTGTTAACACATGAAAAACCATCCAACTCAGACTATATTGTTTGATTTATATTCGCGGAAAAATTGTTTAAATGCTTCCTATTTAACTGTACTTATTCTTAATTTCAATGCTTCACCTTCGCTTACTGGCCGTACTCAAGATGCACGGCTCTACTAACAACATTGCATTAATTACACCATCCTCTATACAATGTTGATCATAATTACTCGATATTGCACCTGCCTCTATACGACATATTACCAGCAACTCGCGTCGCTCGGTTGATAGATTTATTGTATTGAATCCTTTAGAAATTGAACATAAGTGTCCTAGTCTTATTCATGCCGCACCCAGACTGTAATGAATATAATTAGATTTATGGCCTCCCTTTGTTAAGTCTTACCGCCGCAATTAGCGGCGAATTCACAACACGGGACGTTCATAAGCGAGTTTATTGTTACCCAAATTAACAGTTCTTACGAACATGAAGATACCTGACATAAAACTTCACTTACACAATGCCATTGAAACAGTAAACCCGAAAACAGAAAATTCGCATGTATCCACACAGGATGATAATCCCTAGATCTTAATTAAAATTCCGAGATGCCTTATGAATGTCAGAAACGATAAAAATAGGCTTTTTACGTAGGTGTGCGTGGAAATGGCTTTATCGTCGGGAAATACTTTGCGCTCTCATAAAAAATTCTAATGAAGTGCATAATCATTATTAACCGTCGATAGAGATATAATACCTGGTAATACACTCAATCCGAAGAAAATCGAGTCTGCCGTAGTCTCTTCACTTAGGGGCGCAATGATTCAAACATGTATAAATATGCATTTGAAATTTAATGAGGAAATCACCATTCGAGATTTTTCAATTGCTAGACTATACATTACGTTGGGCGTACGTAATTGAATACCTGACGGCAATAACCGGTCGGCTGAATATTCAATTGAATAATACCCCGGCCAGTTGTCGCCGGACGTTATTCAATTATCGCAATGAACAAATTATATTCACGCATATTCTCACTTCTCTCGTTTGCGAGTCTCCGTTGTTTATCTGTGCCGGAGAAAGGCAAAATGGTAGCGCGAAATAAAACAATTAATTTACCACGAGGAGTTAAGCTTATCGGGCTTATGGTGAGAAGTCAAGCTTTATTTTGAGTGCTTTCAAATATTCTCTCTAAATAGCGAAATAATGAGTGCACGTAAAACGAAGTATATAAAGAAACAATTTATCAAAAATTTCACCTCTCTGTGAAAATAGATTTTTTAGCCTATTTAACATAAATATTTTAAAATTCATTCTTGAAAATCATTTTATTTTAATCATCCAAAGTGACCATCGAATCTGCCTGCGAATTTCCACCGAAACCTGATGTTAATTACCTCTCGACTCTAAAATTATAGCTTTAATCGATGAGACCAAATAATAAATTATATATATACACAAGTATATCCATTCCTAGTATAGCGATGTCAACGAAAAGCCGTCATGATATATTCTTTCTGTACATACATAGGACTACTTACGGCATTTTCAAGATGTATTTAGAGTCAGTGCTTGGTCTGGACGTGACATTCAAGGGGAATTTATTTATCCAGTTAAATTGTTAGAAAGTGTAATCTCGGAAAAACTATGACGCTTCCTCATAAACGTTGCGTTTATATTGAGCTCACTTTTCCACTTGGAGAAAAGGGAACGAAAACTAGGCAAATGTTGAATGCATAATTTTTTATAAAACTCGAGTTAGTGAAAATTATTTCACGTATACATTTGTTTTGATTAAATGAAATTTAATCTTTTCCCAATTAAACAAAATGGACCTGTTTGGGGAAATTAAGAATTCTGCAATTGCCTAGTTCACTTTCCGAAATTTTCGAGTGCTCTAATCGATTCAATTAAACAAACAAAATTAGTCCTCTAAAACAACCGACCGATTTCCCGAAGTAGACCAATAATTAGGACATATCTTTTGGAATTATTAAAACCCGAGGAAATATTACTACAGGTAAACATGTTGGCAATTTTATAAATGTCAAGGTGGTCGATAAGTCTCAACTCGGTGCTAACGATCTTGCATAATAGAGTGCAATGCTCGACTCTTACGAAAATCAATCGTTGCAATTACTTCTCTGTAATTGGCCTTTAACTACATCGTAGTCGCGACGTATTATTTGCATTTAATTGACAAGTCTTCACCGGATATACAAAAGTATATTCGACAACGGGCAAATCGCGTAAAATCGACGAATATCAGCGATGAAAAAAAAAAAGAAACGAAGATATTTCTAAATTACGTCACTATGTAAACATAAAGCATGTAACAAGTAAGGAACAGACCAATGACAAAGCTTCCTCAATAAGATGATTTTATCCCAAACCGAGCGCAGCATCCCAAAAAAGCTTTGAGGTCAATTATTTGTACGTTAAGGCGTACCTATATTTATATATACTTTTATCTGCAATAAAATTTAAAACGTCAGGTACATCCCTCCTGTTTTCAGTAAGAGCCGCACTTCAAAGAAAAAATGTCTTTCTTCTCTACAAGATTTCAAGATACAGCCAAGTTGATTAACAATCCGAAATATTTGCAACTTGTAAAATACTCTCTATACCGAGCTTTGACCCTTTGAGTTAGAAAACAGCTTACATTTAGATATCGAGCGTTTTCATACCGATCAATATTTTCTAACAAAAAACGTATTCTTTAACGATTCTCTCGATTGCGCGGAATGAAACGCCCTTCTTCTATGCAATCTAAACATTATTAACGAAACGTTGACAATGCCGTTTAAAGATCGGATCAATCGTCGAATTAAAAATAAAGAGATTGAGGAAAATGGAATGGATTCGTCTTCCAAAATTTGCGTGAGAGCATAAGGTTTGATTTCTTTTTCTTTTTTACAGTTCCTGTATGTATGACGATCAATGTAAACCAGTAATACGAGACCTTGGTTGTCACGCGGCATAGGCCACATATTGATTACTTCGAAAACGTATCAATTATTTAAGTAACCACCCGAAAGGGCACGTCGTTGTGTTACTACCACAGTATCGACTTGCTAATTCATATACAGCCTGACCTTACTATACAATTTTCCTACATAATTGGATTTTAAACGATTCGAGAATTGACAAAGTACGATTAGTCGATCAGGATTCAATTTAAATGGATGTTGTACGATAGTGCATAGCAATTACGAATTACGAGTCGTGAGCGAGCAATGTTGCTATTAGGTTGTTCAGAAAATTATTGCGATTTTTACTAATTGAAAATTTGACGCTTTGTTTTTAAATAACGTTGTTTTTTTTTACATCCATGTTACATACCGTTTTAAAGCGTAGACTGCGTTGTACATTTTGATACCAACAATTGTGTTTTAAATATTAAATTTTTTTCATTGCGTCAAGAAACTTTCGAAAGCACTATTGCCCTGTGCGTTCAATAGAACAACTGCCTTACGGCCCATTTTGAACTCATACAAGAAAATCTCCCGAATTTGCTTCTTTTTTAATTAAATTTAATTAATTTAATGAAATAGTCTAGATGAAACAGATATTAATATTCAAAACACAATTATTGTGATCAAAACGTAGCACAGAATCTGCGCTTTGAAACTGCATAGGTACCTATAACATGGACATAAAGGAAAAAACTTGATTTTAAAACAAAGCGTCATAAATCTTAATTAATAAAACCGCAATAACTATTTGAACCTAATACGTCAACCTTTCGGCAGCCTGACAAAATAAATGGTACCTGTTACCCAATTTTGTTCAATTTAAAAGAAAATCTTATAGAGGTATTTCGTTACGCTATTACTATCCCCAAATCTGTAAGACGAAAGCTTCCTTGTGAATCTTACGGTATAAGTAATTAATTTACTCCTCAGCTTGTGCGCCGAATTTTTCAAGAGTACTTAGAAGGAATTTTTCCTAAGAATAAGATAAATGTTTCTCTTTGAAAGAAGCTTAAAGATAATGTCAATGGAAGTGTAGGTCCACTTAAGTATCAAAATCATAATTGTGGAATATAAAAATAGGTTGCAATTTAAACGTTAAGCTTTCCCTAAATTTGTAAATTACCGCTCGAGAATTGAAACTTTTTTCATTGGCTATTCGAAAAGTCATTCAAGAGTCAACTGTTAACGTTCCGATTGATGAAACCAGTTTACCAGAAGTAAAACTTATGTGTGAAAATCGGTATACGTATTTTAGGTCAATTGTATGTTTATGACTGAGGGACAGGTTTCAGAGAAAACATTTATCGAATTGAATTATTTTATTCGGAAATACGAAAAATACGCCGATACCTTAAATATATATACAGTAGTTGTCATCGCATCTGTGGAAAAGAGATCAATTATAGCAAATCGCCATTTCCTTATTTTGAACATCTGATTGCACGTTGACTTAACGATACTTTGATCTTCTGCATTTAACATCAAGAGCTTATCTACGTTTTGGCACCTTGTATAATACAATTATGTGTCCAAACAACTATAAATAGCAAAATATTTATGTACAACGATCACTTGTTTTCATCCTTTACACGACACGATAAACAATACCTTCAATTATATCACACCTGAATTCTACATTGATTTGTTCCATCTATTAGTACAAATTCAAATTTGAAACGAAGTTTTGAACTTCCTTTATTCCTTTCCCAAAAGGGGGAAAATGACACTATAAACATAGGAAAAACGTATACTTTTGTATAAACATCTTAAATACTTAGAAAGTCATACAGAAAGCATATCGATTGCTTTAAAATTCATTGATGTAGCATACTTTACGCTCAAATATGTACAATAAACGTAAACAAATTAAAATTGCACGTGTCACACATCTAGAATACACGATGTACCATTCTACAACTTTCTTGTAAAAATAGTTGATATGTGACATTTTATTGCCAAAATGATTCTTACGATTATCTGCCTTGAGAAATGATATTAACAAAGAAGGTTCTATCTAGTAAACCTTACTGTTACTAAAACTGCTTTGATAATCTCAGACATCATGTACTTTACAAAACTTACCACTATTTACAAAATATATCGTATGTGCAACATAAAATAAAGAATAAGCTTTATTCACTATATACTATGCGATTGTTTCTTTAATGGTGCACTCACTTCCTCTTTACCTTGTGCAAAACTATCCAAGGCTTTTTCACCTAACTCTACTTTGACATCTGCCAATTGGGAAAATCTACTTTCCAATGGTGTACTCTCGCATAAGGAATCGCTATTTCCTAAACTCTCATTCTCGTTTTCCTGCCTCCCACCGACCCAATTTTGGTTTTCACTTACAGCATTGTAGATCTTTCCTTCCTTCTTTGAAAATTTATGCATTTCCATATTAATTTCTGTTCCTGGGACTGTTTTAATTAGATCCGCCCAAGGATCTTCAAGGAAAGATGCAAGATCTACATACTGCATTATATCGTTTTGTTCATTCAAAATATTCCGCGGCCCCTACAAGACAAAAACCAAATCAAATTCATTATTGAAATTAGTAACAACCTTTCCAGTTACCGTCTATGAATCCATTATTAAACGAAGTTCACTTATTAATATAATATGCATCAAGTATCATTCACATTCGACTTAGGGCAGATATAGCAGATGTTTAGTCACAATGCAATGGTAACACACAACTGGCGTTCAAATTAATGGTGCAGATATAAAGAACCCCCTGCAAATTGGTGTTACAAGACAGACTAATGATAAATTCTGACTCGTTTTTGTACTTGTTCAATAATGTACTGCACAAGAAAGTTCAGACTGCAAATTTTTCAATCTACTATTATTGATCACACTCCCTAAATGTGAAAACTCACTTTCAAATCCATTTTACAATCTTCTACACCGCTGCACTGTGTTAAATCAATCGTAAATGATACTTTATAGATAAATGCAGATAAGGAACAAATAATTCAGGATGACCAATGAGGAATCTATTAATATCAAAAAGGATTAAAAATTTGAGTATTTACCTGGTGTTTCTTATTCCTATGTCTGTAAGGAGAGTTCCTGAATGCTGCCCTCGAATTATTTTGGAAGCTATTATTACGATGGTATCCAGATCCTCCGGAATTCCAATAACCGTGCCCACTACCAGGACCAGACCAATTCCCACTGTTTCTGCTTTCAGGTTTTACAGGAGTACTCAAGCCCAGAGGGATAAAATCATTATTACCGCTCGAATCCGTAGAATATCGTTCATAATTATTATTCCTGGGACAGCCATAACCTGTACCAGAGTACGACTCGCGCGATTTCCACCCAAAGCCTTGCCGACCGCCATTACCTCGTGGCGTACTTAACGGCGATTTCTTCATATTTGAAGCTGCCTTGACGAAAATGAATTGAAATTACACTTTCCAAGCTCTTCGAAGGCTTGCTGTAAACTGCTGTAAACGGCGTCTTTCACTAAGTAAACACAAGAAAAGTATTGAGACCTCTCTAGATCTGTACTGCGTTGGGAAAAAGTGAAGTCGATGTGTTCCAACGTCTTCTAGAAGTCTAGTGAGACAGGCCGAAACGTGCTTGGCGGAATCCACCCCGGTATTGAAAAGTTTCAGACTTATTCTAGCAACCACCAGATAGCACTACTGTCGTCTCTATATCTATCTCTCTCGCACTTACCAGATCAGGGCACCAGCTCACCTGGCCACATCTCCTAGACCTGTAATTTTTTTATCCTTAGGTACGGTGGTAATGCGTTCCTCCATAAAAGAAAACCGGAGGCCACGCCCTATTGTCTATTCAGAGATGACTTGGGAGATTGCTCGCGGGTAGGTCGCGCGATCGCATCGTGTGCTGCCCTCTGGTTTTGTACGTGAGCTTTCACCGTTTTTGCCACCGAGGGCGGCGCAACGAATTTCTGGTAGGGGCTCCCGCATTCGCGATGGCGGTGCCATCTACCAGTTGCCGCTGGCGGCTCACGTACTCGTGATGGTAATACCATGCGGCAGTTGACGGTGGTGGCTTACCTACGCTTACCAACACTGCTCGCATTTGATGGTAAGGGAAGAACACTCGTGGCGCCCTTTTTGACTTTACCCTTCACTTACCTCATTTATTTCATCCGCAAATGATACAGGCAAAATTACAACGTGGGTGCTCGAGAGTTATTTTATACTGTAGACACAATTTTTGTAATCTCGGAAATTAATTAAAAAAATATGAATGTTCCGTAGGGAACACATAAAACCTAAATAGAAGGAGATACACAACAACATAGTTCCACGTAGTCGGTATGACGTCAGGTGTAACGTACGTGTCGCAAGATCAAATCCTGACGGACGGGAAGAGTGGGTACGGTTTTTTACGCAAATTTTTTTCGGCTCATTTTACAGTTGATGGCAATCGCACGAAACATATTACAGTTATGTAATTTTATATTATGAGTTCAGCGTTTCATTATTTGTTTCACCGTCCATAAGGTGACTTTAATAAGTAATATGAAATTAATTAAAATCGTATCGTAAGACAACAGTATCAATCTTTCTTATCGTTAGTATTATTATTATTTAGATACTCATGTTGCTATCGTTATCTCATTCATTGCAAAAATTTAAATTATAATAATCATTTGAGAATGAATTAACGAGCTCGGACGATAAAAACGTTCAATTCAAATATTTGTTCCCTACATTGGTAATTTTATTGCAAAGCATTTGTCCTGAAATATTCCGGCTCACGGTCAAACGATGGTAATTAGCAAAATTTCAATACATAGTTAAACACCGAATACGCGAGTCGTGAAGGACGTAGATCGCACGAGTCGGCGAAAGATAAAAACAATGAGTTTAAAGTACATTGTTGTTTCGAAGCGACGAGCGCGGAGCGTCAGGCACGCCCTGGTGTCACGTACGGAACTCGCATGTAGCGAATCAGTGTGAGTACGATCGCTCCTATATATCTTCGCGCGTCCCGACCAGCCAAGCGCCAAGCTACAGGTCAAATCGTTGAGTATGTGTGCGTCGGCGCCGACTCATAGCGGGTATGCGTGAGAGCCGGTATTCCATTTGGTTTTATTTCTTGACAATGGAACAAATTTATTTTATTGGTAAACAATGAAAGAAAAAGTTATTTCTGCACGCCGGTGCGATTGGTCAACTTACCCTGCGTACAAGGCAATTGTTAGGGTAAATTTACACGGCATAAAATGCGCACGAAGTTCACGCACAATTTAAAATAATAAATTGCAGTGATTAAAAAATATTGTATTTATTACTAGTAGTAACAAAATATGCATGTATAAATGCGTTACAATTAACCTTCTTAGATTTTTTCATGATTTGCTGAAGCAAAATAAAAATGCGTGATAAGGCTATTATTTTCTTTGTATTTTATCGCATGTCGGGTCCGAACGCTGCAATGCTCGGTTATCGCTATTTTCGGAGGGCACGGGGATCGCTCGACCCGGCCCGGGACGGAATCGTCGCATCGAACAGAGGACGCGAAGAAGAAATAAAAATGCGTTCTGAAAAATTGTTTAAACATGTTTCTTGCGTTGTAGTTGGTGGACAATCATGAAAAGACTAAGATTCAATGAAGTTTGTCACGAACGAGAGGTTAAGTTACGATTACTTGTAAATGAAACGAACGACACGTAGATCAGTCAATGAAAAAAAATGTCACGGTATAATTCTGAGCGCAACTCAACTCGCTCCGTTTCTCGTAAATCAATTCTCTCCAGTCGTCACTATATCGATCGATTGTCAAACGATGAACTATTTTATTAAAGAAAATATACACGGTAACACAAAGCTCATGGATGCTCTTTCTGTATGTCATATTTTCAGAATTACANATAAAAATGTATATAATACCATTACAGCTTAGATACGTGCCTATACAACTTGAAGATGTAATTGGAGAAAATTATGAAAGACGTGCACGGTCTCAATTTGTACTAATTTACGAAAAGGATGCTTCCTAATGGTGAGAAATTTGAAAATGTTTGACATGAAGTTGGTCATAAACGATGTTTATTTATTGATAGTTCAAAATTTCAACAAATTTTTAACTACCTGTTAGGACTAATTCATAATTTAATAATTATAACGCTAGAATTATTTGGAATGCTCTCTGCAACGATCGGGGTGTTCTATTTCTTCCATATTTCAAGTTCCGTTTATTCTTTCTCGTGTCTCTCATGTCATATAGCACCATTGATTCAGTCACGTATTATGCTCATAATTTAAATGGATGTCTAAACAGAAACTCTAGCGCTTCGCTCTCTTATCTATTACCGCGGTCCTTTAGCCCATGATCCGTTTACTTCTAGTCCTATAGCCCATTTTTGTTATTCCCCACCTAAGCCTCCTTAAACAACATTAACTTTTCCCCTTCTCAGTCCTCATTAACCAATCACTTCCGATTATCGATCCCACTCGAATTTCTCTACGCCTATCAGTAAACGCTTTGTAAAAAACTCCGCCCTAGAGGACAGCATCCGAAATCGCTCTGGACCAAAGTTCCTCTGGGCATCTTCAGAATCAAATCTTCCACCGCGAGAGACAGACATCTCCTACTCTCAGAGACAATCAAGTCTCACCGCGACTCCAAATAGTCTTACCGCGACTCCAAATAGTCATCCGCGAACTTGTACCGTGCGACCGCCGCCGTTCATAGTGTTATATTTTACAATTGTTATCGGATTTACTTGTTATTGTTAATAAACTATTTCTGTTACGAATTCAAGTCGTGTGCCCGAACTCATAAAACCGACCTGACTCGAGATTTCGTCGAGAATTAATTAGTCTTCTAATTCGGCTCTCACATCCAGTGCAACTCGCGTTCAGACTTTCTTTCGAACATCCGCAACACTACCAATAAAATAAACTTGTTCCATTGTCAAGAAATAAAACCAAATGGAATACCGGCTCTCACGCATACCCGCTATGAGTCGGCGCCGACGCACACATAATCAACGATTCGACCTGTAGCTTGGCGCTTGGCTGGTCGGGACGCGCGAAGATTTTTAGGAGCGATCGTACTCACACAGATTCGCTACATGCGAGTTCCGTACGTGACACCAGGGCGTGCCTGATGCTCCGCGCTCGTCGCTTCGAAACAACAATGTACTTTAAACTCATTGTTTTCATCTTTCGCCGACTCGTGCGATCTACGTCGTTCACGACTCGCGTATTCGGTGTTTAACTATGTATTGAAATTTTGCTAATTACTATCGTTTGACCGTGAGCCGGAATATTTCAGGACAAATGCTTTGCAATAAAATTACCAATGTAGGGAACAAATATTTCAACCGAACGTTTTTATCGTCCGAGCTCGTTAATTCATTCTCAAATGATTATTATAATTTAAATTTTTGCAATGAATGAGATAACGATAGCAACATGAGTATCTAAATAATAATAATACTAACGATAAGAAAGATTGATACTGTTGTCTTACGATACGATTTTAATTAATTTCATATTACTTATTAAAGTCACCTTATGGACGGTGAAACAAATAATGAAACGCTGAACTCATAATATAAAATTACATAACTGTAATATGTTTCGTGCGATTGCTATCAACTGTAAAATGAGCCGAAAAAAATTTGCGTAAAAAACCGTACCCACTCTTCCCGTCCGTCAGGATTTGATCGTGCGCCACGTACGTTACACCTGACGTCATACCGACTACGTGGAACTATGTTGTTGGGTATCTCCTTCTATTTAGGTTTTATGTGTTCCCTACGGAACATTCATAATTTTTTTATTAATTTCTGAGCTTGCAAACATTGTATCTATAGTATAACTTAACTCTCGAGAACCCACGTTGTAATTTTGCCTGTATCATTTGCGGATGAAATAAATGAAGTAAGTGAAGGGCAAAGTCAAAATGGGTGTGTCACGAGTGTTCTTCCCTTACCATCAAATGCGAGCAGTGTTGGTAAGCGTAGGTAAGCCACCACCGTCAACTGCCGCATGGTATTATCATCACGAGTACGTGAGCCGCCAGCGGCGACTGGTAGATGGCACCGCCATCGCGAGTGCGGGAGCCCCTACCAGAAATTCGTTGCGCCGCCCTCGGTGGCAAAAACGGTGAAAGCTCACGTACAAAACCAGAGGGCAGCACACGATGCGATCGCGCGATCCTGCCCTTGAGCAATCTCCCAACTCATCTCTGTTCATCTCTGGTCTATTGTACATTGGTCTCCATCGATGGCTTGCACCTGGTCCGCACTGCCCTCTCCGGCCGCGCAGCGTACTAGCGGTGGGAGCAGCGCGGAATTCGAATCGCTCGAGGGGCAGAATGGATTTCCTGAAGAAAATAAATATTTATAAACCAAAACAATTAATGAAAATTATTTCAGTATTACTGTGGAGCGTCCCTGACCCACCTAACGTAGTTTTTGTTAAATAATAATTTACAG